ACTTCCTGTTTTAATCTTCACAGCAGCTACATGGGGAGGTTGTGCTATTTTATGGGCAAAGTAAATGTTCAGAGAGGTAAAGCCACTTTCCCTAGGTCACACTGCAAGTATATGGCAGAACCAGGATGTGGAACCCCCGCCCCATCTGTCTGAATTCAAGTCAAGGCTCTCTCCTAGCCTCAGATCTGGATGGGGTTTGCTGAGGAGCACCCAACTTATAGAGCTGATAGGGCACTCAGGAGTGGGGAAACTGAGGTTCAGACAGGGCAAGAGCCTTCCACAGGAGGATCTGCTAGTTTTGGAGCATTTATAAAGAAACAGCAACTTCTGACCTTTTTTAACATTTATTACAAAGTATAAGAGCAGAGATCGGTGAGCTGTGCGCCCCTCGCCATTCCTCCCCACCTGGTATCCTCTGCAGCTCTGGAAAAAAATAGTGTCCTCTTTGCTGTCCGCCAGGGGGCGCCGCCCCCTGCCTCCCAGACCCGGTTCCTTCAGCTCTTCCGTCCAGCGGTAACTGAAGCCTCCTAGCATCCTGGACTCTGGGCCCTTCCTGCCCTTCTCCCTGGGGAGCTGGAGAGGGTGGGGAGGCGCAGGTACCTCCACTTCTAACCGAAAGCCAGAGATCCTCTATAGCAGCACAGTGAGAGTGGTCCTGATGGGGGCGTGGGGGGTAGTGGTGGCCATGTTCCCATCTGGGGTCTCTGGAGGTCCAAGGCTTCCCCTTCAGCCGCATCCCCTGATGGCTCCTGCCACCCAAGGCGGCCCCCGTTGGTCCTCACACCTTGAGGTATTTTCTTCACAGGGCTAGGTCAGGAGCGGCAGGGAGGGTGCCCTTGACCTCCATCTTGGGAAAGGAGCCTGATTGTCCTCCATGGATCCTGAGGGGAGGGAGAGAGAGAGAGAGATGGGTGGACAGGCAGTCCAGACAGGAGAAGTCAGTGAGAGTGGCACTTACCAAGACGGAAGCCGACAGAAGCAGTGGGCGAGGCGGGAGGCAGAGGGTGGGCGGGCTGGCACCAGGAGACCAGGTGCGGGGGGCATAAGCGCAGGCTGCACAGAGCTTGAGTGACCAGGGACAGGCAGAGAGAGAGACCAAGCAAAGAAGGAGGGGGTCACTGAGGGGCAGGAGGGAGACCAGGGGAGAAGGAGGGGCGCCCCCCTTTTCTCCCAGTCCAGCCCTGAACTCAGAGTCCTTTCCTCCTGAAAGAGCCCAAGAGAAAGTGTGGCCACATGACACCGGCCACAGGTCCCCTTCCTCCGACCTTTCTTCCTGTCCAAGTCCCAGCCCCCTCACCAGCTACGTGGCCTCCTGACTGGCTTCTGGGAGCTGCTGTGGCCTCAGGGCAGTGCCCAGCAGCTCGGTCAGGGCGTCCAGTTTCCCTGCCAAGGCATCGATCCGCTTCTCCAGGGCCCGGTGCGAGCTGCTCAGGCCCAGCTGCAGGTCACACAGGATCATGTGCATCTGGGTGAGAAGAGGGGGTCAGGTGTCAGGGGCTGGGGTGGACTCCTCCCCACTCCAGCACTGATGAGTCCTTACTGACCCTTGAAGATTATCCTCAGTTATAATTGTTGCCCTTTCTTAATCACTCAAAGCCCAGAACCTCTTAAAAGCCACAGGGAGCAGGAATCCTGTTCCCACCTTATAGTTGAGGAGACTGAGGCACAGAGCACCTAGAATAGGACCTGGCACATAATAAATGCTCATTAAATACCTGTGCAATTGATAGGCGGCATGGCTTCGAAATCCTGACAGCCCATTTACTGCACTCCCAAACTGGGGATTCACAGTCTGATTCCCGAGGCTCTGTGAGCTTTCTTTTTCTTTTTTAGGTGCTGGGAAGTAAACCCAGGGCCTTATGCATACAAGGCAAGCACTCTACCAACTGAGCCCTATCCCCAGCCCCTGTGTGAACTTCCTATGGGAATTATTGAATGCTGTGTTTTAAATTCAGTAATCTTCAGAAATGACAAGCGGCCCATTCTGGCAGACCTGGGCCATCACCTCCTCACTGACACCTGCCATGATGTTTTTTAAAAAATATTTTTAATTGTAGATGGACACAATACCTTTATTTTATTTATTTAGTTTTATTTTTCTTTTAATATGGTGCTACGGATCAAACCCAGTGCCCCACGCGTGCCAAGCAAGCGCTCTACCACTGAGCCTCAACCCCAGCCTGGCCATGCCGTTTTGGGGCCTGAATCTGTGACTGTGTTTACCATGGCATTGGTGCCAAGAGCCACTGTTTGAACTGTCGTGGCCTAATGAGAAAAAGCAAAGGCCACCACATTAAGAAAAGGTGCCACGAACCAGACCAAGGGCGAGTGACGTCACTGTCCCTCAGCACTGGTGGAATCAAATGGTTTCTGCAGAAGGGAGCGAGCCAGGTGAGACACACCTAGGCTGGCAGGCAGCCTGGCCCAGCACGGGGCCCCTCCAACAGTGAGCATCCCCTTCACAATGGATTGAGTTTTACTGAAACAATGTCACCTGTATTCTTGTCAGTGATCCCAAGTTGAATTTTGCCATCTATGTTTGTTCTTGATTTGTAAATTTGCTTTGGTTTTATTGTGTAAGAGTCATCGTTGGAAAGAATTTTATATCCGTCCACATGTAAGTAACTTGATAATAAAGATAATTTGAAATCAAACACTGGGGTGGCTGTTTTTTTTCCCCCGGTACTTGGGATGGAACCCAGTGCCTCACACATGCTAGGCAAACACTGTACCACTGAGCTACACCCCCGGTCCTTTTTAAAATTTTTGTTTTGAAATGGTCTCACTAAGTTGCTGGAGCTGGCCTCAAATTTGACATCCTTCTGTCTCAGCCTCCCAGGTCACTGGGATTACAGGCGTATGCCACTGTGCCTGGCACAATTTTATTTTTTTTAAGTTCAGAAGAGGATCTGAATTTTACATAAATATAAGTAGCTTTGTTCTGCTTTATTCGTTTCTTCATTCCTTCAACCATAAGCCTTTACTAATCACCTACGTGTGCCAGGCTCCTGCCAAGGGCCCCCCACCTTCCTTTTTTTTTTCTTTGGTACTGGGGATTGAACCCAGGGGCACTTTACCACTGAGCCACATCTCCAGGCCTTTTAATTTTTTATTTTGAGACGGTCTTACTAAGTTGCTTAGGTCCTCATTCATTTGATCCTCCTGCCTCAGCCTCCCCAGTTGCTGGGCTTATAGGCGTGTGCCACTGCACCTGGCAATACTATATTATTATTATTATTATTTTGGTACCAGGGATTGAACCCAGGGGCATTTAACCACTGAGCCACATCCCAGCCCTTTTTGTATTTTATTTGGAGACAGGGGCTCCCTGAGTTGGTGAGGCTGGCTTTGAACTTGTAACCCACCTGCCTCAGCCTCCCAAGCCACTGGGATCCCCTATTTTCGAGCCAGATGTCCCTGCCAGAGGCCCAGCCTCCCCTTCTTCCAGACCTGGTACCTTGGAGATGTCCACCATGGAGTTCACTTGCTCTCGGAGCTTTCGGTGTTTCAGCCGCACCTGTCGGAACCTGGGGGAGGGGGAAGCTGGGAGTCGGTTTTCCTACAACCTGGTCCCCAGCTGGCCTTAGCTGAGGGGTGCGACGAGGGGAGCAGAGATGAACATGGACATAGCACAAAGAGGTGTGCCCGAGAGCCTGAAGGTGCAGAGGAGCCCCCACTCTGCAGCGGCCCGAGACTCCGGGTCCGCAGACGCATCCAGCCACATCCAGACGGAGATCCCCGACATTTGCTGAGCGAGACCACACGTGGGTGTCCTGACCTGGACACGCATGGGCATGCACACACACAGCCACGCAGACAGGGGACAGGACACACAGCTGCCCTCACGTGTGGATGGCGGCCAGCAGCTTGCGCTGATGCCTGCGGGCAGCCCTGGAGTCCTTCCTGCGCGTGTGTTTGTAGTACATCCAGGCCTCCTGCAGCAGGCGGGCGGCTGACTCCTTCATCTGGCAGCGGGCGGGCGGCACAGAGTCAGTGGACACAGACCCCAGGGCTCTGCGACGGGGGCACTCCCGGGGGGCTGGCACGGGGAGGGAAGGGCCACGCTCTGGGTGGCCGGCGCCCAGCCTACCTCCTTGGCATAATGGATGTCCATCATGAAGTTGTGCACGTGCTTCTCCGCCTTGTTAAACTCTAGCTTCCGGGCCACCACGGCCACCAGCAGGGCTGTGCAGCACACCCCCTGTGGGCACAGCGGGCACTGTGGCGTGAGGCTGTGGGGCTCTGGGGGCCAGACCTGTGCCACCAACCTCTCTAAAAACCTCCCAGCAGTCACAGGGGACAGGGACAACCATCCCCAGGTGACAACCGGAAAAGAGGCTCTGAGAGGAGAGCCAGGGACCCACAGCCCCGAGCGCCCACAACAGGGTCAGAAAGTGCACGTGTCCGAGTCCAGAGGCTCTGCACAGCGGTCACACCCCACCAGCCTGGCCTCTTTCATATCAGAAGAAGAGCTGGCCAGAAGGGGCAGACTGCGGGCTCCCAAGGGGCCCCGTCTCAAGACTCATTCTTAGCCAGCCATCAGGTCCCTGGGAGTGTCCCTCACACTCCTGAGGTCTCTTCCCAACTCATTTCCCTCCAGGACAATCTTCAGCCCAGCCCCCCACTCATCATGCTTCACCCACGGGAGTCCTGACACCCTATCATGACCTTGCGCCCCTCACTCTAAACCCCACCTGGGCTCCCACTTCCCTAACTTCTCAGCCTGGCTCTGGAGGCCTTCTTGGGTCCAGGCCTCAGCCCTGGCCGTGCTCTCCCTCACCTGCCTGAGTGCTCTCCGTGAACCCTTTCCTGGGCCTTCAGGGGCCGCTCAAATCCTTGCTGCTCCAGGGCCTCTGCCCTCTCTCCCTGGATTGGAATGACCCCTCCTTGGAAGCTCCCCGTCCCGTGTCTCAAGTCTCCATCACTCAGAGCAGTTCACTAGTCACCAACACGGGCTCCCAGGACTGCCTAGTCCCAGCCCAGTTCTGAGCAAGTCATTTATCTCTCAGTATTTCCATTTCTTATCTGAAAGTGGGCACGCCCTCTGTGGAGTGTCACTGTGAACTCCAGGAGTTGACTCCTGGCAGATGTCTGGGGCAGAGACTGGCACAGGTATGTCCCCAGTAAAAGTGAGCCATCATCCACCGCACGGTGGAACCCTGGGCCAGGAGGGGGCTGTGAACCTCACGTGCCTTGTCTCTCTGGGTCTCAGTTTCTCCTTCTGTCAGGTGAAGGAGGAGGTGCCATTCAGCCCCCAAGGGGCCTGGCCCTTTGGGAACATTTTCCTGGCTAAGTCTCTGCCCCTCTTTCCTTGTCCTGAAGACTCCCCACTGAGGTGGGGGTGGGGGCTCACATTTCCCTGCCCCCCATCCCTTATCCCAATGGACCCAGGGCTTAGGCATTCCACATGTCCTCCCTAGGACACCAGAACTGGAGGCTCAGACGTGGGAGGGCAGAGGGAGCCAGATCTTGTTGGGGAGATGAAAACCAAGGCATTGGGGGCCGGGCCCTGGAGTGAGAGGGGCTGTGGTGCGAAGGAGCTGGATGTGTGGGTTCAGCAGGAAGCTTGAGCCTGGGGCTGAGGCAGCTGTGTGTCTGGGACCAGTTATGGTAATGGTGCTCTCCCAAAGTCCCATTTACTGAGCTCTTCCTGTGTGCTAGGCACTGTTTGAAGCCCTTTACATGGTTTAACTCATGTAATTGTCTCAGCACCTGATGAGGAGTACACCAGCATCGGCATCCCCATTTTACAAATGAGGAAATTGAGGCCTGGAGATTTTGCAGCTTGCCTAAGATCCCCAGCTGAGAAGCAGAAGTGGAGATTTGAACCCTTGGAGCCCGGTCCCAAAGGCATGATCCTGGTGATGACCCTAAGCCCTTGATAAAGGTTAAGAGACCAGATCCCCAGGTTCTAGAAGCAAATGGGCTGGGAAATCAGGGGTCGGGGGTCCCTGGGGCGGGAACAGGTCCTAGGATCATGGTCTATGGTCCTAGGTTCTGGAGAGAGCAAGGACTTAGTGGATGGATTCCTTGGTCTCAAAGAAAATGGTTTTGTGTCTGGGTCCCTGAGAGGGGATAAGGCTGGGTGGGGAACAAAATTTTCATGGGGTGTCCCTGAGAACCTGTGCTGGCTCCATGGTTTCCTGGGGCTCTGAGGATAAGCAGTTTGGAAGGGGCAGGGTGTCTAGGGACTTGGACTCACCATAACTCCAGTGCAGAGACAGACAATCTTGCCCCACATGGTACCTGGCACCACATCCCCATAGCCGATGGTCAGGAACGTGATGGGGATCAGCCACAACGTGTCTGAGAGGTGCCCAGTGGCATTAACAGCCTGCCTATGGGAAAGGATAGGTTAGTTCTGAAATCCCACCCTAGAGATGTCCAAGATGTTTGCTCCCCTCCACCCGCCATGTGCTCTCCTTCCCCATCCACACCTAGTCCCAGGATGAACCTGGGCAGTACGTTCTAGGCTTTGGAGAGCCTCCTTTCTGCTATGCTTAGCCACTCTGCGCTGTGGGATTTGAACTTGAGTCTGGCCAGTTCCAAAGCCTGCATGGAGGCGGTCAAGGCGTTGGCACAGAGTGTGTGGCTAAGGACTGAGAGGGGACTGAAACCCTGCCTGAAGTCAGACCTGACAGGGTTGCACTCACCAGGAGAAAGGAGTACCTTTTTCTATCTTCCACAAAGGTGCTGCATGGCCTACAAGTGGCCCTATAAAACCCCAAAAGGTGGAATTCTAAAAAAAAATCTGTCCCTTGTTGAAGATCACCAGGTGTAGTGGCACTTGCCTGTAATCTAAGTGACTTGGGAGGCTGAGGTAGGAGGATTGCAAGTTCAAGGCCAGCCTGGGCAACTTAGCCAGACCCTTTCTCAAAAATAAAAATAAAAAAATAATAATAAAGGGCTGGGGGTGTTGCTCAGTGGTAGAGCACCCCAGGTTCAATCCCCAGTGTGACAGAACAAAATAAAAACCCTGAGTTTTATACAGTTTCCAGGTGGCAGCCAGGACCCAATACCCTGCAGGAACTTTCCAGAATAGCTGCAAACACCTCCTTTCCAGGCTCACAGCAAATTCCTACAGGACCTCTATGCTAATTTGGAACAGCTGTCCCCTTCCTCCAAGGCAGATGCAACTGGTAGCCTGGGTCCGGAAGTCCGAGATGGGAGAAGGGGAGCCAGAAGGGTGGGCTGCCTGGGGTCTGGGGGTTGGGGGGCAGGCACTGAAGGTCATCTGTGGAGCACTGGCTTGGACTGCTGTGTGGATGGGGACGTGAGCAAGGATGGAAACTGACCTGTCCCCACCCTTGGCGTCCACCTGCACCACTCCGAGCCACCCGCCTCCCTCCCTATGCCGCAGGACCCTCACCTCTCCGCCACCGACAGCACCCAGGCTGTGGTGAGCCAGAGGCCAAGCGTGAGGCCGAGCAGCAGGCGGCCCGGGTGCGTGTTCATGTACAGCTTGGCCACGAACCAGTGGCGGAAGCGGACCTGGTTGAGAGCACCGATGCTGCGGTAGGACACGTTGAGCAGGACGCCGCTGCGCAGGAGGACCGCGCGGGGCACCAGGTAGAGGCGCAGCAGCATGGCTAGTGACAGCAGCGCCTCCCCCTCGTCCAGGAAGCTCGGCCAGGGCTGCGTCCCCTTCTCGCCCGACCCCGTCGCGCACGGCGGGCCCCGCACGGGTGCAGGGTGCAGCCCGCACACCGCCAGCTCCAGCACGATCTGCGCCGCCTGCCGCGGAGTCAGCGCCACGCGCCAGTCCCGGAGCCCGTTGTCAGTCATGAACAACTGCGGGAAGAGCGACAGGGAGGGGTCAGGTGCAGGCCAGGCGGCCCGCCCGCTCTGCACCCCGAGATAAGGTGGGGCAGTCTGCTGGGCCCCGGAGAGAGAGATAGCAGCAGGGCGCCGAGCTGGACAGGGCTGGGGAGGGAGCTGGGCAGGATCCGAAGACTTCTCTCCACTTTCTCCACCAACCCTTAGTTTCTGCCCGCTTCCAGAACTTTCATGAACATTCACTGAACGCAGGCTGTGTGCCCGGCCATGCCCTATGTGCTGAGGATTCGAATCGAACAAAACAGAAACCTCTTCCTCTCTGGAGTTTATAGGCACATTCCTGAGGCGGCTTTTAATCCTGTTCTGGGAACACATGTAGTAATTGTTCTAGCAATAACATCAGGGGAAACAAGAGTCAAGATTTATGGGGCACTTCTCCCCTTTATGTGTTGTGCCTCAGTAATGCTATGACACAGTGAAAGGGATAGTACCTCCATTTTATAGATGCAGCAAAGGAGGCCCAGATGCTTCAGGTGGGCGGTGGCACACTTAACTATTGCTGGGTGCTGATGCTGTGGCAGCCAAAGCCAGTTAACTATGGCTGTTATTTTTATTCATTTTTTGCAACGCCTGAGATGGAACCAGGGCCTTTGGTATGCTAGGCAAGCACTCTATCACTCAGCTACGCTCCCAGCTCCTCTAACACTTGCAATTAATGAGAATGATAATCTGTACCCTTTTACTAAGTACCTCTCATGTGCCAGGCACTGCACAGGGGCATTGCCATGCATGACTAATAATTCTAATTTTAAGACCATGGTATAAGGGAGAGAGGAAATGGGGCAATAGGACCTGGGAAGATGGGTCTGGGGAGACAGGAAGTGAGGGCATGAGGGTGCAAAGAGTTCCTCCATCTGGGGGAATATTGAGACAGAGATGGGGAAATCAGGGGCAGGTACTAGCTAGGACCTTAGGTGACTTGCAGCTGGAATTAGTGGGAACAAAGATGGAAGACAGATCTGGGAGGCTAGGCCTGCAGTAAGGTGGCCTGGGGCAGAGCTCAGCTGGCAGGCAGCAGGGCTGGAAGGGTAGGACTCTCTGCATCAGGAGTGTGTAAGGGGGAGACCAGGGGCTGCTGGTGGGGGAAGGGCCAGGGCTGCCCTGGGAGGTTCTGTCCTACGGTCCTTCTTAGTGGGCAAGGGTGTGAATACATCAGAGGGTGGAGGAGCTTCAGATCAGGAGGAGAAGGTAGAACGTGTGGGCTGAAAGGGCACGTGGGGTTTAGGGTTGCAAAGCTCAGGGGTAGCAATGACCCTACCTGGATCTCTTTGGCATGAAAGGCCACGATCAGGCAGAGGAGCAAGATGGTGGAAATGCTGATCATGCACTTGACCAGGAATAGGTAGAGGGCCCACTGTGGGAAGGATAGAAAACAGGTGAGGTCCAGGTCTCCACCAGTCCCTTGTACCTTCCTTGGAAACCACCATCCCTTCCATTCCCCACTTCCTAGCGCCTAGACCAGTCACTCCTGGTGTTTCAGTTCCAGAGACGTCTCAGAACCATTATGTGGCCCCCAGGGAGATGCTGTCTTCCTTCCCAACTGGACAGCCCTGTCCCAGATGCCATGTTCATCCTCCTTCGTTCTTTTCCCTGGATTCAGACCCCTGAAGGGAGACCTTGAAGCTCACACGCTTTGTTATTCTCCTGTCCCTTTCCAGTAAAAAGTACTGCCTGGGTTATATGTGTAGAGCGTCTAGAAAAAGACCTCTGGCCTCCCCTTCACTCCTACCCAACTGATCCTGCCCTAGAATCAATGTCAATGCCCACCCGATTCCAGAAGAGACCAGAAACCACCATTCAACCCCCCAAAACATGACACTCTTCCCTGCTATCTTCCAGGAGACTGAATCCTTGAGACCCCAGCCCCAGGTCTTAGAATGCCCCCCAGTTCTGCCCCCTGCACCTCCTCCTCCCCTCTCTCCTGGCTCCAAGCCCAGGGCAGATCTGGCCGGAAGCACAGGGCCTCCAGGAACCTCCAGAAACCACGAGAACTCTTTTTTCCTCTCTTTGTGTGACAATACCTTGGAGGAATCTAGAATTCTAGAGGGAGGGATTTAGAGGGGCCTGCTGAATTCCCTAAGAAGGGTTGGTTCCGGGTATACTGTCAGGGGAAGGGGCCACCTGGGCTCCCCCCCTGAGCCCTGCACCTGTTTCTCCTAAGGCTGCCAGCTCCCCTGGTTGGACCTAGGCCAGGGCTCCGCCTCTGAGCAGGGGAAGAGGGCCAGTTTCCTGCCCCGGGGGGCCTCCCCCCATCCCCTCCCTGAACAATGGTGCTGTTGTCCCTAGCCCTCCCCCACCCCTTCACCCTTCCAGGGCTCCCTGGTTCCCGGTCTGTCTTCAGTGTGTCTCAGCCTCATCTCAGTCAACAGCACCCCCCTCCCCACACTGCAGTGCACCTCTCTGGTGGCCCTCTCTACTCTCCCATTGAAACTGTCTCTACTTGGACCCTTATCCCTCTGAATTCCCCTTTCTCTGGGGATGGGTGTTTTGAGATCTCTCTTTCCGGTGGACTTTCTGCCTCTCCATATGGATTTCTCAGTGATTCCCAAGCTCTATTTATATTGGTGGCTGTCCCTCTCTCTCCCTTACTGCCTCTTTATCTCTGTCTCTCTCTCCATTCCTTTCCTCCCAAGCCAAGACACCTATCATTTTTAAAAAAATATTTTGTTAGTTGTAGCTGGACAACGATACCTTTATTTTATTTATTTGTTTGTTTTTATGTGGTGCTGAGGATCGAACCCAGTGCCCCACACATGTGAGGTGAGCGCTCCACCACTGAGCCACAACCCCAGCCCCAAAGGCACCTGTCTTGTTCCCCTGTCCTTCCCAGGCTTTGGCGCCTCTTCCTGCAGCCCCTCCCCCAGGAGGGCAGGTGTCTGGGACCTTGCAAAATGAGCTCCTTAGCTGAGATGGAGGTGCAGAGGGGGCAAGGAAGTTATCAAGGCAGTCACTGAAAGGAAGCGGAGGAGGGCCCGCTGCTTGTGTGAGAACTGCAGATCGGGCATGCAGCAGCTTTCCCAAGGTCCCACCCATGGACTGGACGCAGTGGCAGGTGGTGGAGGGAAGGAAGAAATGCGAGGTGAGGACAGGGAGGAAGAGAGTGGGGTAGGAAGGACCCCCTTGCCCCTTCCCATCTGCCAGGCTCCCCTGCCCCACCTCCCCTGCTGGGCGCGGTGCTGAAGTGTGGGAGCGCCGCGTAGGCCCCGGCCATGCTTCCTGTTGGCATGGGCTTCGGCTGCCCCACCTCCTCACTGCCGCTGCCCTCTCCCTGGCCGCCTGGCCAGAGGAAGCTGGCCTGCCTTGACCTCCATGTGGCTGCGGGTTCCTCCAGAGCTGCCCACTCCCCCATCCCCAAATCTATCGCTGAGCTCCACGCGTCCCTGTCTTAGCAGCCCTGGCAACAACCCTTAGCCCAGACAGGGCTTCAACCTCTCCCTTCCTGTGGGCAACTCCGTTCCCCCTCAAGCCACTGATTCAGACCCTTGTCCTCCATCTGTCCCTATCACTGCCCGGACCAGGGCTGGAATGTGCCCGTAGCCTGCTGAGACCTGTTCTGGCCCCACCTACCCCCCTCAGAGTCAGCCCTTTTCCCCCAAAGAAGTGTGGGAGCGCCTAAGCTCCTTCTCCCCCAGACTCCGCAGCCTCGGTTCAGCCCCCTCTCCCGGGGACCAAGGAGTTCAGGCTACACCAACTGCCTCTCCCTGCCTCCCAGGTGAGGAGCACGCAGATCTGGGGGCAGCTGGGCTTCTAAGTGACGGTGATGGGGGCAGGAGGTGCTTTCCACTTCCCACCCCCACCCCGGTCACTGTTCTGGGCTCTGCCCCTGGCAGTCCGGGCACTGGGCGAACGTTAGCGGTTAGATAAGGAGCGGCGCCTACTGGAAGCCTCTCTCCACCCTCCTTTCCCCGAGGCTGGGGCCCTGGGGTCAGCCTTCCTCTGACCTCCGCGGGGCCTGCACCTCCAGGGGTCTGGTTACAACCTTTCCAAGGACTGAAACACTGTGACCCCTGTCCCCTCCCCAGCTCTTGCAGGGAGAGACCCCCACATCGAACTCCCCAAGGTGTCAGGAGCCAAGGCCCCAAGTCTCCTCCTCCCTGAGACCCAGAAACTCACCCCTCCTCCCTCCGACCCAGGGTCCTGCTCCAGCCCCCTCCCTCAACCCAGGGGTCCGACCCCAGCCCTCCCCTCCCAGAGCCGGGGTCCAGGCCCAGCCTCCCATGCCCCGCCCGGCGCGAAGGCTGCACTCACCGGGCACCCCCCAAACCACAGCATCTCCGCGTGCAGCACCATGAGTCCGATGCCAATTCCCGCCAGCGCCAGCGCCCAGCCGGCCAGGCACTTCTCCTGCTCCAGCAGGCGCTTTCGCTGCCGCAGGGCCCCCAGGCCAGACACCAGCTCCCCGCCCATGGCCCCTGAGGTCTTGGGGCTCAGCCAGCTTCCTGCCCAGGGTCCCCCACCTCGTAATACGCAAATGGCAGCCACTTTGGCTTCCAGGCGGGCGGCCGGCTCTGCTCGCACTGGGGCTTTGGCTCCGAGGCACCGCGGAGCCCTGTGCCCTCTGGGGAGTGGTAACGTTGGCGGCTGGGCAGGGCGGGGAGGGGCAGGGGAGGTCCCTGGGTAGGGGGAGGCTCCCCAACCCCCCTTCCCAGACTAAGGAGGGGCTGGGGTGTGTCTTGGGGCAGAGCTAGAAAGAGGCATCCATCCACGTGGGAGAGACACACACTGCCACACAGGGGCTGTGACCCGAACGGTCTGCACCTTGTGATACCACCTACACCCACCACACCCAGACACCACAGGACACCCCCGGCCAGAGAGGGAGCCTAACACACTGGGGCCCGCAACACAACCTTCAGAGTGACTCACAACTCCCCACAAACTGAAATCTGCAACCACACCCAGACACCACACACATGGTGTGACACACGCCGGCACTTAGCAAGGCAGGCAGTGTCCCCGGCCCACACGGCCACCCAAATATTGTCCCCACACAAGCACAAGCATTACATTCAAAACTGCCACAAGATTCTCTGACACAGTCACACCCAGACATCACACCTAGGGCAATGCCTATCTGTAGCCACACAAACAGAACAAGCACTATACAAACACACAATACGTATTGACACAGTGATACTCAAACGCCACTACACCCAACACATACAAGGCACTCGTGGTGTTCCACACTCCACACACCCATGTAGCAACACCCAGTACACACAAACACACAACACCTAGGCACACGGCCATGGCACCCCCCCGGCCACCCAGCTCATAGAGAAACACACATGGACACACATCGCAGTGCGTGGCCACGCCAACGCACATGCTCCTGAGGATGATTCACAACACACACTGATTCACCCGGACACACAATATGCCCCAGTGTACAACGTGGTTCAAATGCATGGTCAGAGACCCGGATCCATGGATGCCTGCTGAGACAGACACAGGACAATACCCTAAGGGGACCCAAGCAGCACAATGTATCCTTTCCTTTTTTGGTACCAGAGATTGAACTTGGGGATACTTAACCACTGAGCCCCATCCTTGGCCCTTGTTATTTTTTATTTTAAGACAGGGTCTCATTAAGTTGCTTGGGGCCTCACTAGATGCTTGAGGCTGGCCCCAAACTTGCAATCCTCCTGCCTCAGTCCCCCATACTGCTGGGATTACAGGCGTGTGCCACCACACCTGGCCAGACTGGTACATCTTGACCACACCAAACACAAGCGGGGATGATGCCCCTGAGGTGGAGGGATTATGCCCCAAATGTAACACACGCCATCCCCTCTGACCCACAAGCCACAACTGAGCGTCACATATGACACCCACACGTGCTGTATTCCAAGATGTGTGGCTGCACAACCACAAAGCATAGACAGTCATGTGTAAACAGATGGCGACACAACATAAACATACTGACCCATTTCCCAAGAAAAACAACCTTTCACAAACAACCACCTGTCACATAAAACACCAGACGTGACCCCACTGATTGCAGCCCACACCAGGGCGACAACAAGACCACCCAGGACCCCAGACAAGCTCATCCACAACCACACAAACACAGCACACCTTGAGTGTTCCTTGGCAGGGAAGGGAGAGGCCCCCAACAGGGCATACACCCGGATGTAAGATGCAGGGTCGCAAGGCTGAGTGATACACAGTGTTACACACACCAGGTCCACAAAGAGACACAACACACACTGACACACAGCAGCAAATGCGGTGCAGTGTGACCCATAGTGACTCCCAGATCGATGTGCAGCAGGGAACACATATGTCCACACACTGTGTCTGCACACAAATCAGAACCCACCCACGGTGACACAGGGACACACTGATGTGGTCACTCAAAACACACAGCAGCGCACACCAACCTCACCATGCACGGGACTCCTGCTCTCCAAGGAGTGTGTAGAAATAACCCTTCTCCCTCCCGTGTCCTGTGCCACGCAGGACCCAGGACCTGCCAGCCACAGGGAAATCAAACACTCGCGGACAGACGTCTGGCACCACACCAAGGCAACCCACAAGGACACACCCAGAGACACCAAACCACACACACAGACACGCCCGGTGACAAAAACACTACCCCTGGGGGTGCCTTGCCATGGGGCCGGGCACACTGTTCCTGATTACCACTCGGTGACATACACGCGGCCAGTGGCGGGAGAAAGATGGAGACACACCCAGGCGCACCCAGACACCACGCTTGCGTCTCCTTGGAGAAAGTGCAGCCACCGGCGGGCGGGCGCTCCTGCTCCTGGAGAAAGTCCGTGGCCGCCAGCCCCGTCCCAGCCTGGCTGCCCGCACCCTCCCTCGGCACCTCTCCTCCCTCTTCCTGTCCCTGGCTCTCACCTCTGACTCCTTCCTCAACTTCTCCCGCTCGGGGCGCCTCTGGGTTCGTCTTTCTCTCTCCTGGGTCTGTCTCTGTTAAGGCTCCCTCTCTAACCATGTCCCTGTCCATCGGTCTGTTTCCATTGCCTCTCCGTCTCCCTGTCTCACTGTGTCTCAGCCTCTTTGTGTCTCTGGGTCTCCCTTGTGTCTCTGTCTGGGTCTCCTTCTTTGGTCCCTGGTTATCTATTTCATTCTCTCTCTCTCTCTCTCTCTCTGCACCTCTGCATTCACCATTGTCTGTGTTTCTCTCTCTCTCTCTCTCTAAGGATTGAACCCAGGGGCACTTGCCCACTGAGCCCCATCCCCAGCCCTGTCTTGTGTTTTATTAGAGACAGGGTCTCACTGAGTTGCTTAGCGTCTCACCATCGCTGAGGCTGACTTTGAACTCATGATCCTCCTGCCTCAGCCTTGGGAGCTGTAAATTTTTTGTTTTGAGACAAGGTCTTGCTAAGTTGCTTACAGCCTCATTAAATTGCTGAGGGAGGCTGGCCTTGAACTTGCTATCCTCCTGCCTCGGCCTGCCAAGCCGCTGGGATGACAGGCGCGTGTTGTCTGTTTCTTTTTCCACCTGTCTCTGTTTCATTCTGTCCCTAGGATTCTTTTTCCGTCTCTGTTTCTTGCTGAATTGAGGTCTCAGTCACTTTTTTCCTGTCTCTGTCTCACTCCCTACTTCCAGGTCTCCCTTTGCCCCGCCCCCAGCTTGTCTTTGGGTTTCCCTCTGCTCTTCATTGGCTCCCCTGTGGACAGCCCTGTTCCTTCCAAGTCTATCCTGGTCCCATTGAGGAGCTGAGGCCCAGAGATACATTATGACCCATCTAAGAGTCAAAAGCCACAAAACAGCTCCAGCTTCTCCACAGCTTCTGTCCCCACCTTCAGGTACTTTTGAGAAACTGACAAGAGACTGACCCAGAGGGTGGGAGAGGACTATCAGAGAGACTGAGTGGGACAGCCAAGAGGGATGTAGGAATCAAAGCGGGGGGAGGTCGGCTCAATGGTAGAGTGTGCCTGGCATGCACAAGGTCCTGGGGTCCATTCCTGGCCCACAGACACACAAGACAGGATCAAGGAAAATCAAAGAGATGGAGGGAGAAGGGACTCAGAAGTGAAGAGAAAGAAAAAACTAGAAATTTTGTCTCCAAAGAGACCACAACTAAAAAAGAAAAACAGGGAAGACTGGACAAGGGAGAGGCCTGAGCGGGCAGCCCTGAGGGTCCTGGTGGGAAGGGGACCTGCCTTCAGCTGCTGAAGTTGTGGGCAGCAGGGTTCCGTGGGTGGGAAGCAGCACTACCAGCCAGGCTCTCCAGCCCAGGGAGGGGCGGTGGGGGCCGTGACTCAGGGCCCCAAAGCTTCCTGTGACTCAGCCTCGATCCCAACCCTGAAGGGGGGAGTGGAGGGAGCCGGGGTCTCTGTAAAGAAAGGGAGAACGAACACCAGAGGATCTCAGTAAGAGAAGGGACCAAGGAGGGCCTGGGGCCTGGACGCCTGAGTCTGAGGGAGGAGGGGCTGGGGGCCTGGACCCCTGGGCCCGAGGGAGGGGGGCTGGGGGCCTGGACTTCTGTGTCAGAGGGAAGAGGGAACTGGATCCCATACTCCGGGTCCAGGAAGACTAGAAGAACTGATTCAGAAGTTCCCAGGGCTTCTCCCTGGCCTGGTCCCAGCTGCCCCACCTTCAACCTAGCCCCATCTCCGGGCCTGGAAGGGACCCAGGTGCTTTAGGGCCCAGCCGGAAGGGGCCAAGGACAAAGAGTTGTTTAACTGGGAAGGGTGGTGGAGGGGACTGAAGAAGAGGGTGGCTCAGTGGAAAGGTCAGTTGTCGCCCAGGGCTGGTGCAGGGGAAGGCGGCAGGGCTGAGCCCGGGGGAAGACATCCTGAAAGTCAGAGGCCTGTGGGGGCCAATCCTCCAACCACCGTCTTTGGGACCTTGGCATTGGCGGGCTCAGGGGAATAAGGAGACTCCCACCTTGTGGTGGTTTTGGGAACTGCAGGCCCTCTGTTTACCCAGCTCTTGTAATGGAGCCTTCCTGAGTGCCAGGCACTCTCTGTTCTAAGAACTGGGGAATAGCATGATTAACAAAGTAGGCAACAGACCTGCCCTCGTGATGCTTCCAGGTTCCGGAAGACAGACCTCGTGGTTAGTTGACCTCAGTCTCTCATTTTCACTCAGTCTGTCACTGGACTGACTTCTCTGTTTCTCTTTTGGTCTGAATCTCCAAGAGCATGCCTTCCTCCTTTTTCTTTCTTTCTGTGTTTATTGATTTTTCCCCTTTTTTTTGTCTGTGTTTCCCACCAAATAAGAATCGTGTAAGTTATTATACTAACATGCATACACATGCACATGTACACACACACACACACACACACACGCACACACAAAGTCCTAGAGACGTTAGTTTGTCTGGATGTGAATCTTGGGGAGGAGGGCTGGAGCATGCCTCCTGGGTCTGAGGGAGGAGGGGCTGGGGGCTCCTCTTCCCTCAGACTTTACCCTGCATGGGATCTAACACACATACAGCCTGCTTTAGAGAGAGACCTGAGTTCAGTCCAGCTGCTGTCCCTAGCTGGGTGTCCTGAGCCTTGTGAAATGGGGATGATAATTATGCTACCTCTGTCATAGGGCTCCTTGAGGATAAGGTGAGGTACACGGTCAGGAGCCTGCAACACGGGACCTGGGATGTATTTAGCACCTGTGGTACATTGGGTCCCAGGCTGGCTGCTAATGGTTCCTTCCCTGGCTGTCCTGGCATGTGTCTTCTCCCACCAAGAAGTATAGTCCCCTCTCCTTCTGTCTGTCTTTGATGAATAGAATGTGGC